TAACACTTCTGCAGGGGAAACCTTCCCCTGGCAGAGCAGAGTTGTTACACTCCGCTGGTAAACTGTAGCAACTTCCAGCAACTTCACCCAGGAAACCTTCTCCCGCTGGGAGCAAAACTCCTACACTGGGCAAACATCCCAAGCTGGAAGACCCTCTCCTGCTGGAGCAGAGCCAATACACTGGGGAAACCTTTCCCTGAGGCAGGGCTGTAAGTTGCTATGCTTACTGCAACCTGTGGTAGTCCTTGGCTCCCAACCTTTCCATCTGAGCTGTGTAACTCAGTATTGTGTGACTCCGGAGTGTCAGAATACGTGTCCCATCCGATCTGTTGAAATGCCTACGGTGGGAAGCAGACAGGCGTGGTGCTGGAGTACAGCTGAGAGCTTTACATCCTGATCCATAGGCGGCAGGGAGGGAGGGAGGGAGGGAGGGAGGGAGGGAGACAGACAGACAGACAGACAGACAGACAGACAGACAGACAGACAGAGACTGTGTGGGCCTGGCATGGGCTTTTGCAACCTCAAAGCCCACTCTCAGTGACACACCTCCTCCAGTAAGGCCACACCTCCTAATCCTTCTTAGACAGTTCCACCTTTTGGGGACCGAGCATTCAAATATCTAAGCCTATGGGGGTCATTCCCATACCAATCACCAGGCAGAATGAGGAGAGCAAGTGTCTAAGCCTATGGGGTCACTCCCATACCAATCACCAGGCAGAATGAGGAAAGCAAGTTGTTTCTCTAGATAAGCCAGTTTTTTTGAGACTGTAGGAGAATGGCTAGGTCTGTTGTTTTGTTTTGTTTGTTTTTCTGGCTGGGGTTTGGGGAGTGTGTGTGTGTGTGTGTGTGTGTGTGTATAACTTTCAGGAACTGAACAGACAGCTGATTTTCTGGAACTTTGAGCCCAGTTTAGAGTCTTGTGGGGGGTTTGGGAAAGGAGGGGATTCCTTTTGTATACCACTGATCCAAAATATACTTGAAAAAAAATCGGTTTACTCTGGTAAATCTTGCAGATTAAATCCTTTAATCCCAGCACTCGGGACACAAATAAAAGCAGACCTCTGTGATTTCCAGGCCAGCCTGGTCTACAGAGGGAGTTCCAGAACAGCCAGTAAGGGCTGTTTCAGAGAAATCCTGTCTCAAAAAATAAACACAAACACAACTTTCCTGGTTAGCAATACCCTTTGCTTATTGTCACACATCACTACTGGGAACATTAAGCACTGTCCACAGAGAGGCACTGACAGAAGACAGTTGTAAGTAGATGGGTAGTGTTTTCCGGCATAAGGGCATCTTGGCGCAAAGGCATCCTGGCCATCAGGGATGGAGGAATAGCACCAAGTCATGCCACAAAACCAACATCCCACAAGCTAGATCTTCGGGAGAGAAGAACAACATGACAGCTGTCTCTAAAGGGGGGCGGGAGAGAGCAGAGGGCTGGTTGGAAGGGTAGGCTTTTATGGGGTTTTTGAAACATGCTCAGAGAACTTAGTGGGAAAGCATCATAGGATTGGAAACATTGTTTGCCTGTTAAGGCTGAGTATAGGAAACACTGGCAATTAATTCTGAGTCACAGGGCCAGGGATTTCCAAGTCTATGAGTTCATGGTCAACCCAGGGGCGGGATGTTTGGCCTTTGGCTTGGGGTCAAGTCAGGGTCTTGAAAAGCCAAAAAAAAAAAAAAGCCAGGAGTTGGTTCTGCACACCTTTAATCCCAGCACTCTGGAGGCAGAGGCAGGCGGATCTCTGGGAGTTTGAGACTAGCCTGGTCTACAAGAGCTAGTTCCAGGACAGCCTCCAAAGCCACAGAGAAACCCTGTCTCCAAAAAAGAAAAAAGAAAAAAGAAAAAAAAAAAGGCATAGCATGTACATGGACATCTGAAGCAGAGTTTAAAGGAGATGAACTAATTGACTCGGTAGTGGAAATTTCTAGACCATGCTAGCTACTTTTCTGTTATCATAATAGCCATCTGAAAGGAGAAAACCTCCATTGAGAAAATGCCTCTGTAAGACTGGGCTTAAGTACGCTTCAGGGCATTTTCTTAGTGATTGATGGGGAAGGACCAGGCCACTGCTACCCACGGTCTGTCGGTCCTGGGTTCTATAAGATAGCAGGCTGAGCAAGCCACAATGTAGAGCAAACCAGAAAGCAACGCCATTCCTTTGCCTCTGCAACACTCCTACATGTAGCATCGGGTGTTACGAGACAAATTTCCTGGGGAGTTTTGTCATGTACATACACATACACAACATACACAGATGGGAAACTTGGTGAACCACGAGGTTTTGGGTTGGTTTTTTTGGGGGGGGGTTTCGAGACAGGGTTTCTCTGTGGCTTTGGAGGCTGTCCTGGAACTAGCTCTTGTACACCAGGCTGGTCTCGAACTCACAGAGATCCACCTGCCTCTGCCTCCCAAGTGAACTATGAGCTTTATTGGGATTGCTTACAGGAATATGGCTGAGGAGTTACTTACAGGAGCAGAGATTACTCAAAAGACAGCTGTATCACCAAAGCCTATTCCAGCATGGTGACAGCTCACAAAGCTGGAAACCTGGAGCACACCACACAGCCTACAAACAGTTCAACAGGTTGAAGAGTGTCCTTTCCAAGTGTCTCAGTTGGTCTAAACCTCTTCGGGCAGCTGTTTAGGTTTCTGTCTTTGCAGCACAGTTTGCCTAAGATTTTTATTTGAAGCTGGGTTTCCTTGTTCTCATCCTCTCAGCTTTTATTGTTTATTGGGAGGGGTCGTGAATCTGGTCTGTTTCAGGGACTTCCTGAAGCTATTTTGATTCTTTAACAGTCTGCCAGATAGAATCTTTCAATCTCAGAGGAAACAGTTATGCAACACCCGATTCAGACCCCCCTTTGAGTTCCTGACCGGACTTCCTTCCAGGATGAACAACATTGTAGAAGTGTAATCCAAATTAACCCTTTCCTCCCTGGCTTGTTTTTAATCATTGTGTTTCATCTCAGTAATAATCATGCTAACTAAGACTACAGCATACTGGATTCCTAGTGATGGTGAGCTTATTACTGCCTGCTTTTAGCTAGCTAAGAACTTGAAACAAACAAAAAAGTAGAGAGTAGAAAGATTTTTAAAGTGTACAGTCTTGGGGCTGAAGATATGCTTCGTGGTTAAAAAGTACTGGCGGCTCTTCCAGAGGTCCTGGATAAAGTTCCCAGCACCCACATCTGGCTGCTCACATCACCTGTAACTTCAGTTCCAAGGGATTCCATGCCTTCTTCTGACCTGTGCGGGAACTACATGTGTGGAACATATAAATGTAACAGGAACACACACACATCAATCACATTTTTTTTGTTTGTTTGTTTTTCAAGACAGGGTTTCTCTGTATTGTTTTGGAGGCTGTCCTGGAACTCACTCTGTAGAATAGACTGGCCTGGAACTCAGAGATTCGCCTGCCTCTACCTCCGAAGTGCTGGGATTAAAGGCGTGCACCACCAACGCCCAGCAAATCTTATTTTTCAAAATGCAGTCTTGACCAAAAATAGTGGCAAATGGTTTAGATCCGAGCACTAGGTGTAGGGAAAAGGGTTCAGCCAAAGAAACACACTTTGCCCCTGGAATCAGAGCCAGTGAAATAAATACACCCTGGCCCTAAAACTAGAGCCAAAAGGCTAAAAAGGACGAGAGAAAGGAACACACTTTGGCCCTGAAACCAGAGCCCAATCTGACCATAACCCTGTGCAGAAAACTAGTCAATCCCTGAGCGGGAGATTAAAATCTGACCAATCCCCACCCTGGAAGCCCTATATAAACCCTGTGTCTGTTCAGTTTGTGGCTGTTTGTGGTACCCGGCTGTCCTCTGCCACTCTGGCAGAGGGCAGCCACTCTTCTGGATTCTTCCCTCCCAATAAACCCCTTCGATGAACTTTGGGTGAAGATCTTCTTTTGCTCTGAAGCAGAGATGACACTGGGCAGAGCAAAAACGAGCAGGGCTGTAACACTTCTGCATGGGAAACCTTCCCCTGACAGAGCAGAGTTGTTACACTTGTCTCTCCACTCCTGGGGAGCGGAGCTGAACTGTAGCAACTTCAAACGGGAAACATTCTGCTGGAGCAAAACTGCTACACTGGGCAAACATCCCCAGCTGGAAGACCCTCTCCTGCTGGAGCAGAGCCAATACACTGGGGAAGCCTTTCCCTGAGGCAGGGTTGTAAGCTGTTATGCTTACTGCAACCGTGGTAGTCCTTGGCTCCCGAGATTCAGGATATCTTTCCATCTGAGCTGTGTAACACTCAGTATTCTGTGACTCCCGAATGCCAGGATACCTGTCCCATCAGATCTGTCGAAATGCCTACACTGGGGAAGCAGAGGCAGGTGGATCACTGTGAGTTCCAGAAGAGGCTAATTCACACGGAGAGTTCTGGACCAGGCTAGGCAGAGCTAAATACTGAGATTCTGGGGGAGGGGGGGCTTACCAGAAAAGGGGTGAGTTGAAAATTGTGGATACATCAGTGGTTATAAAACACATTTACATTTATCCCATTAAAGAGAGGCCAAGTGTATTGGAGAGATGGCTCTGAAAAACATCAATACCCCCCCCTTTTTTTTGAGACTCAGAAGGTTGCCTCAGTGGAAAATTCCCCAAGGTCCCTTCCCCTAGACAGGGAACAAGGTCGAATTAAAAAGAACATCTGGTCCAGAGTGCTGATGCAGGACACCGGCAGGCTGTTAAGATAAATTTAATCTTGACTTTGTGGTTTCTCCAGGGAGGATGAATTATGCCTGCGCTTCTTACAATCCAGGGTTTCTTTGTGTTCAGTTTTGGCCCTAGACTCCAGGAGGCCAGAGGATCTGGAGTTTCCTTGTGTCAGAGGCCTATGTGTCTTTTCTGTAGTCTGTCATGGCTGCTAAATCAGGGGCTGGGTGAGGGTCTGGTCCCTTTATTTAGTTTACCCTTTTCACCATAAATACTGTTAAAAAGAAAGAAAAGAAGCCAGAACTCACAGCTTTTTTTTTTTTTACATAACTCAGTTTCTTTTATCAGGAAGCGGTCTGTTGTACTGGTCATCAGGCTCTGCATTCAAAGGCCAGAGCTCCCAATGTTATAGGATTGAAGCCTTTATACATTTTTGTTTCCCATATATGCCTGCCTGCATTTTGATTGGATGCTTTAAAGTAGGCAGTAATGGCTGGAATGAAAAAAGGGGGGGGGTACAGGAGAGATAGGGTCAGTTTGCATGCCCGCAGGAGGGAGCTGACCAGCCCACATGTACAGGCATGAACACTAACCGGGCCACAATGCTGTTTTGTAGTTTTCTTCATCTTAGCCTTTGGGAGACTTTTCCTCCCTGTACCACAAGAGGGCAATGTGTGATGCCCCGAGGGTAAAGACTCCAAGATGTTGGAGATGGCAAGAACATAGCACAGGGATGTCCGCTGAGAAAAGACACAGGTGATGAGTGGAACCAGTGTAAGAGAGATGCTACCTGGGCTGCAAACAGTAAGGCCCTATGAGTAGGGATTAGCCGGGATCACTGGAGCTCAAACCAACACAGTGTGCTGGACGTGATACTACAGGACTTCTTCTTTTTCTTGTGAGGGTACAGCCTCACTCTGGGTCACTGTTTTAGTGCTGTCCCAACAACTCAGAGGTAAAGGCAAGAGGATCAGGTGTTCAAAGTCCTCAGCTATACTGAGAGGTGGAAGCCTACCTGGGCTATTTGAGACACTACCAAAAAAAACCTGGGCACATCGGCCACAGCACAAACCTTTAATCCCATCTGTGGGAAGGCAAAGGCAGGGGGATCTTTAAGTATGGGGCCATTCTGTTTACAAAGAGTTCCAGGACAGCACAGTAAGACTCGGTCTAAAATAAATACATATAAATTAAAACCATGACTCTCAAGGGCATATGTCAAAAGTTTAAGTGCCTCAAGGAAACCAGAAAGATAGCGATGGTGGCTCTGGGAAGATGCAAACAATGAATCTGAAATAAAACAAAAGGTTGGATGTAGGCACCCAGAGCTATTTAGCTACCTTCCAGGTGATGCCCTGGCAGAACTCATTTGCAACCCATCAGTTTCTTGCAAGTCAGTCTCTACTAGAACAGTGTGTGGACTTCAATCACAGATAAGAAAAAAAAAAAAGACTACTACATTTAAATAGTCAGATGTCGGGCTCAGCCATTAAAGGCTAGGCTCGCAACCAAAAATATAGTCAGGTGTCCTAAAATGAGTTTGGTAAATGATGACAAAAACTGGAGAGCTCCCAGCAATCTTCTGGACTATCGTCAAATTTTCTAAGAATTTTCTCTTAAGACGTCTCCGGCAACACCCAACTCTGTCTCTTCTTGTTGCCATCTTTCTCTGAAACCTATCAGTTACTGTATCTCTAATTTCCGCCTTTTCTCCCTGCTTACCTTTGTACTGGGGTCGGTCGCTAGAATCTCGATGTCTCGCCTTTCTGTTACTCTTTTCTCGCTACATTTTCTAACGTGCCTCAGGTCCCAATCCTCTGACCCTAATGAATGAAACCCCCCCTTTCATTCAGACCTGTATCCCTGTGTGTGTTCGCTTATTTATAGTCACTGTCTCTGCTCGCATCCTGTCTCCGCCCTCGCAATCTTCGGTTTCCCCTCCTCTTGCTCCCGACTCTAGGTGCGGGTATCACTGCTTCCCTTACTTCATGCCTTCATAACGATCTCCTTGGGTATCTGGTGTCCCCGTCCCTCTCCCCATGCCCTCACCACAGAACCGGACAAGCCTTTCCTAAACCAGATAGCCCGGGCATTACCCGGGAAACCACCAGGTTTGGTTCCCCCGGTTACCATGGAGCCCCGCTCAGTCCCACCCACCGCGCGGAGACTCTAAAGGGGGGTGCTGCGCTTGCACACGCGGGGCGCCTTGCCGACTACGACTCCCAGAAAGCATCTAGCGTGCTGAACGTTCCTCTCTGCGGTTCAGGAGGTAGGCAAGGGGGCGCTCCCTCCCGAACCGTGGTTGCCATGGAGACGAGGAGGCTGACGGCGTCCTAGTGGGAGCGGTGATTGGTGCAGAACCCTGCAAATCCCTGGGAGGCCCGCAGTGAACTGACAAAAAAAAAAAATGTGGTGGGGGGCATGCGCGGGTCTGGAAGGCGATGCTGCCGTCCGTTGCCCCCCGAGAGGATTGCGCACGTCGACGGGGCCCCGACGCCTGGATTCGAGACGGGGAGTGTGGGAAGAGACGGCCAGGAGTGCGACCTGATCGTTGCGACCAGCGACCAGCGCCATCCCCTGGGGACGGGAAGAAGGGTAGAAACGGAGGCGGGGTGGGGGAAGGGCAGGAGGGCTTGGAGCAGCGCGGGGAGTAGTCTGGGACATGTAGTCGGACCTGGAGTGCGCATGCTCAGGGGCGCGCTGCCGCCCTTCCCGGAGCACTAAAGGGAGGAGGTTGGGAGTCCCTGCACCGCGAAACCTCAGGAGGGGGACTGAGAAGGGATGGCGACTGCGGATGGGAGAGAACTCTGGGATTCCGGCTGCCCAGCTAGACCTTGAGCCCCCGCAGAGGTCCGGGCACTTTCTGCCGTGGGCCCTGTGCTGTCACGCGAGCTTGTCAATCGCCACCCCTGCCACGGCGACCGGTCACTTAGGCGTCCTACAGCGGTGTTGCTCCCGGAACCTCCCCTACTTGCTCAGTCAGTGGCTGTCCCAAGTTTCTCCCAGGGTTTCGAGTTGACTTGGCACCCCGAGGCGCAGAGGTGCGACCCACGGAAATTAAACTACCTCCAAACTGATGCCACCCCAATAACAAATTCATTACTTATAAATAAATAAAGCTGTAACAAAGTCCCAGCTGCAGAAAGTATGTAGGGAGGGGAAGCCATCCCTGTTTTCAGGTGAGGAAACTGCAGTTCACATAGGCATAGTGGAATCAGCATCTCGAACCTTCCTTGCAGACTGTTGTTGCTCTAGTGATTTGGGGCGCCTTTGAGGATCCTCAGAAGTCTCCCCCTGTCACCTCCGAACCCCAAGTTAAAAATTAGAGAGAAATGGATCCTTGCTAAATGTGATGAGTTTAGTTTCCGATGCTGGAGAGTAGTGGAAAGGTGTTGCCTGAGGGAAGCTGAGATGCGGGATCGGGTAGCTAGCTGTCCCTTTGAGGCCACACTGGGAGGGGAATGCTGGGACTTGAGAGAAGACCAAGTCCGGGACTGGCTAGAAAGCATTAATAGGCTGGTATTGGGTAGTCGGGGAGGAGGCAGCCGTGGTACTGATGCCCGGATGTAAGTAGAGCCGCAGCTGCTGGCATGAGGCTGCTGCTATAGAAAAGAATGATTTAGGGGAGAGAAATAAAAAGAATAGCATTGGGGGAGGGGCATGAAAACAGTAGGGGCTCGGGAAAATCCTAAACAGTAGCCTGTACTTAGAGCAGACATTGCTTAAGATCCTCAGAGCAAGTGGCCCTGCTGGAGTTCCTACGGGTCTCTAGGGTGTGGCTGGCCTGTCGGTGCCTGTTCCCTCACAGTGTCCTCCGCATGGAGAAGGTCTCAGGATCAAACAACACAGCATACAGTAGGCACTCAGTAAACATTCCGCAGCCGCCTCACAGTATTCGTTCCCTAGGGACAGACAGCGGCCTCAGAGACCTGATCTGGTACTCCTGATGAGACCCACAGTGCTGGGCTCCCCAGGCCGTGCACCCCGAGAAAATGAGACCGTTGTGGTGAAGCTGGAGGACTCTGAGGAGGAGAGAGAAGGCACTCCGTGGGACCCGGGCCCTGAGGCTGCACGTCTACGCTTCCGCTGTTTCCGATACGAGGAGGCACTTGGTCCTCAGGAAGCCCTGGCCCAGCTCCGAGAGCTGTGTCACCAGTGGCTACGCCCAGAGGTACACTCCAAGGAACAGATGCTGGATCTCTTGGTGCTGGAACAGTTTCTAGGTGCGCTGCCTCCTGAAATCCAGGCCCGTGTGCAAGGGCGGTGGCCAGGCAGCCCTGAGGAGGCTGCTGCCTTGGTTGACAGGCTTCGATGGGATCTGGATGGACCTCGGAAATGGGTGAGTCAATAGCTTGAGTGGAAGATAAGGGCTGCAGCATTGGTGAAGCTTTGCCTCACTCCGGGAGTCCTGTGCCCAGCCAGACATGCTCCTTGGTCATACGGAAGTGTCCACCAACAACGGGGATCTTTGTGTGGCTGCTCAGGACGGGGCCCATTCCTGCATTACCTGTCACCCCTCAAGCTGGATGAGACTCAAAGGGTACCAGGCAGTCCTGTGCCAGCAAACAATCCTTTTGCTTTCCGCTCAGCATCAAGGGAAGGGAAGGAGGGGGAGGTTTAGGACTTTGGAGGGCCTAGTCTGTATGTAATGACCAGGAAGTCTTGCAGTGGAGTGGGTGCCCATGGGCCACGGGGTTGTACCCAGCCCCTCTCTCTCTTATTATCCCATGCATCTTCCTAGGTCACAGTCCAGGTACAGGGAAAGGAGGTTCTATCAGAAAAGATGGAACCCTCCAGATTCCAGCCTGTACCTCACATCAAGCTTCAGACTCCAGAGCCTGGGGCTGCAACTCCCCCTGGGGCTATGCAGGACTTGCCGCCAGTGGAGCTTCCAATGAAAGAGGAGACAGAGGTGTTGGAGAGTCCAGGTGAGAGCATGTGGAGAGTGGGCAGAGCCGACAGGAGCCCAGCCAGCACAGACACTGTCTCTGACTATCACAGCCCCGTTTCCACAGCTTTCCCCAAGCATCGTGGTGGGACAGGCTGCCTCGGGACCCACAGAGGGGCAGAGGCACAAGCCAATGCTTGTCTCATCTGTTTGCCTTCCAGAAAACCTTACTTGACCCCATTCCCAAATGGGCCCTCAGATGTCCTGCCTTGTCCTTCCCAGCCTTGAGTCCACGTCCCTGTCTCCCTCGGGTCTGGAACCCAGCACCTAGCACTGCTAGGGAGGGTAGGAACTTTCTTGAGCTGCCTGACCCCGCTCTTTCTCCCCAGAGCTTCTGGAGTCTGGGCCTCTTCCTGCTGCCCAAGAGGCTGCAGCTGCTCTCCTACCTAAGGAGGCCCAGGTGAGCCCTACACAGGATGGGAGCCACCCTTTGCCCTAAAAGCCCAGGCAGGCACAGTCCGACAGTGACCACTGTGGTTTCAGGACCATGCGACGGCACTGGACCAGACCTCTCCTCACAGCGAGACTGAGCCTGATGTGCCCCCGTGGAGTGAGGACCCCGTGACCCTGTGGCATGAGGAAGTAGGGGGCATCTTCTCACCAGGTTAGTGACGTAGACCCTGTGGGACTGAGCCCTCCTCACGATCTACACCCATGAATCCTTCTGTGCCTGCTCAAGACAGCCCTAACACCGCAGCACCTGCCTTAGCATTCTCTGCCACTGACCCCATGGCTCCTCCTGACTTTGCCCTGCATCATAATAACCTTGCTGAAAACAAGACCTCATGTTCCCCATACCCACATCCTGTTCCCAGTCATGGCATTCTGCGTGGCCACCAGACTCTGATCCGCACCATGCAGGTTGGACACCAGAGCAGGGAAGTTTGGGAGCTGTGGAGGAAAGCTTAGTAGCAGACAAGGCGAGAGTAGTTCTGATACGGCATAGCCAACTGCCGAGGATGGATCAGGACCCTGCCCAGGCTCCTCTTTCTTGATGTACTTCCCTATGCGAGTGCGCCATCCTCTGAATTCTGGTATGGGAGGTAAAGGTGTGAGAGGTTACAGATCTGAGACACAGTTGTCTGGCCCTTGTCAGATACTGGGGATGGAGCTCAGGGACGAGGCTTGCTAGACAAGCACGCTGTCACAGAGCTATACCCCCAGCTTCTCACTGATGGACGATGGACAAGAACGCTCCTACTGAGCCTTGCCTTCAACCTCTCACTGGTGGAACCAGTTTGTTCCAACCCTGGGCCACGCCTTAGCTCCTCCTAGGTAGGAGTTTTACCACTGAGCTATACCTCCGGTCCCAGAACTGTTCTGCTGGACTCATTCCCAGGCTGCTTCTGCTTTTTGAATTCCTGCTGTTGATGAGTCCTCTCTCTCCCTGAAATTCACATACCTCACTGATAGGAAATTGCTCTGAAATGTGTTCTTTGGAGAATGGTGTGTTGACGGTGTAGATGAAGGTTCTTGGCCTCTGGGATGCCCTTCGGCGTTCCCACTCCAGCTTTCCACCCCCTTTGTGGGATGTGTGTGTGTGTATGTTTGACAAGCGTGTGTCACAGCACACGTGTAGACTTCAGACAACAACTTGCAGGAGTCCGTTGTCTCTGTGTGTCATGAGGATCCTGGGGCTCAAACTCAGGTCCTCGGGGCTCGGCAGCACACTGAGGCACAAAGGACTTACAGCATAAGCCCCAGGTGCCTCAGCATTCACCTGGCCTGAGCAGGCCTGCTTGCGCTGCGCAGGGACCCCTTTGTCTTGCTTGGACCTGGTCCTCTCTTCATCCGCAGCCCAGGCTCTCGGCTCTCTTGCAGGCACACTGGTACCAATGCTTCCAGCCCCTTGGCTGCTTCCTCCTTGGGCCGCTCTTGCTGCAGACAACCACACGTTTTCCTTTCAAGTCTCAATCCATCTCCGTCTCCATGACTCCGGCCGTGTTCCTAGGCTTGCCTCATCCTCCCGCTGTGCCTTTTGTGGAGGCCAGAGTTATTGGGTAGAGGGTCCCGTTTTTGCTTTAAGACAGGGTCTGCTGTATCCCAGGCTGGCCTGGAACTCGGTAGAGAGCTGAGGTGGACCTTGAACAGCTGACCCTACCGCCTCTACTTCCCAAATGCTGGAATTCTAGGTGTAAGATACCTCTCCTGGTATCGGCAGTGTTGTGGATAAAACCAAGGGTTCCGTGCATGCCGCAAGAATTTTACCAGCTGACACATATCCCAGCCCTGTTGGTGATTTGGTGGTGGCAGCGGTAGTGGCAGTGCTGTGTGTGTGTGCTTGCGCGTGTGCGCATGTGTGTGCGTGTGTGCGCTCATGTGCACATTTGTGTTGGTGCATACACTCATGCACATGCTAATCATGCAATCTTCTACTAAAGCTGTACTCCCAGAGATCTTTTTAGTGCCTCATTGTGACGCTGTTGTAAATGTTAACACCATGCGAGGGACAGCGTTAACAGGCTGGTGACATGCAGCTACCGATGAGTTCACTAAAGACACAAGGCAGAGGTAGATTGCTGCATGGTGGCTCCTCAGCAGACAAGACAGTAAAGAGAGCCTGACTCCACAGAGCTATTCAACGAGGCCACCTTGAGTAGCAGTGGGTCTCCATGCCAACACTCAAGCTGCATCTCAGTGTCCTGGGACCCTGAAGCAACTGCATTTGGGGTGTGTCCTGGTTACCACAGTCTAGCCTTGAGACAGTAATGGTTTGTCATATCCTGGGTCAGAAATGGCATAGCAGAGCACCCATTCCAAACAGGCAGCTACAGTTTGCAGCTAGGGCGGTTAATAGTCCTGCTCAGATGTGGAAGCTTCCTCGTCCAGAACCCACCTCGCCATGGAGCAAAAGCAGGCTTGTTTCACGAGGTTAGAGCAGCTCAGAACCTCATCCGTAGTTAATACATTCCCGGAATGAAAACCCCAAAAGGTGTACAAAGAGTACGCAGTGGAGTGCCCCATCTGTGCCCAGCAGTCAACATGACATGTTCTCTGTGCCTTCCAGAAAGAACCTATATGCAAAGCAGACACAACATAGCCATGCACTACGTAACATTGTGTTGGTCAACCCAGATCACAAATAACAATTTTCTTACGGTATTTGCCAGAGCTGGATATGGTTTTCTACACCTAGCACTGGGAAGGTGGAGGAAGGAGGGAGGCAGAAACTGGAGGATTGCCGTGTCTTCAAGGCCAGCGTGGACTACAGTGTGACATCCTGTCTCAAAACGTTGGGGATGGCTGTGTGGTGGTCCATGCATGCCTTTAATCCTAGCACTCGGGAGACAGAGGCAGGCCAGTCTCTGTGAGTTCAAGGCCAGCCTGGTCTACAGAGATAGTGTCAGGACATCCAGAAACCCTGTCTCAAAAGAAAAAGAAAAAAGCTGGGGTTAGTAAGATGGCTCAAGCAGAAAGAGTACTTGCTAAGCCTGGCAACCTGAACTCAATCTCTGGGACCCACATGGTGGAGAGAGAATCATTCCCACAGGTTGTCTTCTGACCTCCACATAAGCAGGATGGCTTCCACGTGGCCATATAAACACACACACCAAAAACATACATACATACATATATATATATATGCATGCCAAAAAACCATTTGACAACACTGTTCTCAAAAGTTTTTGCTTTAGTTAAGTCACACATACCCAGCCAGGTGCCTTTTAGAAACACAAGTAGAATCAGTCTAGGATACAGAGTGAAACACTGTTTCAAAAGCACAAAGCTCTGGGCAGTGGTCGATACACCTATAATCCCAGCACTTGGGAGGCAGAGGCAGGCGGATCTCTGTGAGTTCGAGACCAGCCTGGTCTACAGAGTGAGTTCCAGGACAGCCTCCAAAACAATACAGAGAAACCCTGTCTCAGAAAAAAAAAACAAAAACAAACAAAAAAACACAAAGCCAACCAGGAGTGGTAGCACCAGCCCATAATCTCAGCACCATGGAGGCAAAGGCAAGCAGATTTCTGTGAATTTAAAGCCAGCTTGGTCTACATGGCAAGTTTCAGACCAGCCAGAGCTACATAGTGAGGCCCATTTTGTTTTCTTTTAACGAGAAATAAAAAAGTGAAAAGATGAAAAGGTTTTAAATTTTTTTAATGAATAAGCCAGGTATAGCAACACATACCCTTAGTACCAGTACTCAGGAGGTAGAAGCAGGCATATCTCTGTGAGTTTGAGGCCAGCCTGCTCTGCATAGTGAGTTCCAAGACAGCTAGGGCTACATAGTGACTCTGTCTCGAAAGAGTAAATAAATAAATAGAAAATGAACCAACCTTGCTTGGTGAGATGGTTCACCAGGAACCCCATGGTAAAAGGAAAAGACCAAATTCTACAGGTTGTTTTCTGACCTCCACATATTACTATGGCATAAACACACACGGACACCAATCAATTGGTTTAAATATGTATCTTAAAAAGCCTTGAGGTGCCAGGCAGTGGTGGCACACGCCTTTAATCCTCCCAGCACCAGGGAGGCAGAGGCAGGCAGATCTCTGTGAGTTTGAGACCAGCCTGGTCTATAAGAGTGAGGTCCAGGACAGCATCCAAAGCTACAGAGAAACCCTGTCTCAGAAAAAACAAAAACAGTAACAACAACATAAAAAGCCTTGAGGCTAGAGAGTGAGGTCAGTGGTTGAGAGTGTTTACTGCTTTTCAAATTCACACGGGGAAAGTCCTGGAACTCTAGTTTCAGGGGATCTGATGCCCTCTGACCTCCTAGAACACTTGCATACGCATGGTGTACATAAATTCATGCAGTCATGCATACATGCACACAATGTTTACAAAGAAAAAAGATATTCCTGGATACCCAAATGACTTTATTCCCCGTTTTCATGCCATGTGCTTGGCAAGCAGCAGGGGGTGTGGCCACAGGTCTTCAGACAGCCCCGTAAATAACTAGCTCACTGTGGTCACTCATTTGTCCACAGTACTTTGGAGTGGTTCCCATTAACTACTGGAAAGTCCTGTTCATAGGTCATCAACACCAGGAGGAGCACAACTACTAAACAGAAATACCTAAAAGTATAATTCCTAGAACAGTGTGGAACACTGTCGTTTGGTTTTGCATGGGTTGTTTTGGTTTTTGTGCCAGCTGGCCTTGAACCTGACTACAGCAGAGGACAACCTTGACCTCCTACCTCCAATCCCCAATTCTGGGATTGGAAGTACCACCACACACTGTTTTGATTAAACTGCCCAACCCAACCTGTGTTGTACCAGCAATGTATAAGAACATTTAATATGGAAACAGAGCCAGAGAGGTGGCTGGGCAGTTAAGAGTGTACTGGCAGCCGGGCGGTGGTGGTGCATGCCTTTAATCCCAGCACTCGGGAGGCAGAGGCAGGCGGATCTCTGTGAGTTCGAGGCCGGACTGGACCGACAGCCTCCAAAAAAATACAGAGGAAACCCTGTCTCGTAAAACCAAAAAAAAAAAAAAAAAAAAAAAAAAAAGGTGTACTGGCTTCTCTTGAAGTTCCCAGCACCCATGTGTCAGCTTACAACCATCAGCAACTCCAGTCCCAGGAAATCCAGCCCCTCCCCCACTATGGCCTCCACAGGAACTGCAGCCACGTGGTCTCACCTGGTATACAGACAGACACTGAGCCAAAAACACCTATTCACGAAAAAACACATTGAAAAGAGGAAAAAGGATGTGGAAACAGACTGGGGGGTGTAGTTCAATGGTAGAACACTGGCCTGGCACGTGAGAACTCCCGTGTTCAAATCCCATTGCTGGAAAAATAAATAAATGCTGAGGATAGGAAACAATGTGTCAATTCAGCCCCACGGTGAGCTTTTGTAAGCAGGGAGTAGCATGTTCCCTGGAGGTTAAACAATTAGTTACATTATTTCTTGCTTGCATCCTCCCACTGTGTGGCTGTCAGGTCACTGTGGATTGACGGTAACTTCTGTAGTAAAAGAATTAGCCGTTGGTCTCTGGAGAGCTGTTAGCTTGGCTTTTGCTTCTTGTTTCCCTTGGTGCATTCTAATTTATCTTACTTCTCTTTAGTGCCTCGTGGGGTTTCTGTCACCCACTTTGTCTCCGGCCTCATTTACCTTGGTGGACCCCTCATCCCTCGCTTAGCCTCTTGCCCTGGAAGCCCACTCTAGTCCGCTGTGCCTCAGGCTCGCACCTTGGAAGGCTCACTCTGTAGCAGGGACATGCTTCTTTTTACTTAGACAGCTTCCGTGTTGATCACATGGGGCCTTGTGTTCATCTCACCCCCAACCCCAAGCCTACATGGAGTCCCCTTTCCTCTGACAAGCCTGGGTCAAGTGTGGCAAGTCCAAACCCAAGACAAAAGAACTGCATTCCTACCCACCCCCACGGCTTCCTGTTGATGTCATCTTTCATCTCTATTGAATCTACACCCTTCTCTGCATCTTCCCAGACCCTCACTGCCCACCTAAACTGGGCCCCACTATCATCCCAGAATCCTTTCGCTAAGAGGTGTTATTTTCCCCCCAACGACTAAGTCAAATCAGGAAAGCCCTTATACACACCTCTCTCAGGATTCTACCCACCCCAGGGAAACCTGTTCAGATACAACTTTCATAAGCCTCACCCTCCAGTTCCAGGCCCGTAGTTCAGACTCCCAGAGTTCGGTGGGTTAGGGCAGAAAACCAGAGTCTCATGAAGGAATGGGTCCCCTTGTACAGGGTTGGCGCTGCAGATGGACATCATCACCGCAGAGCCGGATACGGTGAGCCCTCGTCTCCATGTTCCCTGGGATCCCGACATGGCTAGCCTCTCTGGACAGATGCAATCACCCTCCCGAGAAAGTGGCTTCGCCCATGCCCTCCTACTCCCCAGCGACCCAGGAGGTGAACAGGACCCTGCCTGCAAGGATCCCTGCCCCAGTGTGAGTCCAGCACTGGTGGCCACTCGCTGGCATGCCCCAAAGGGCAGGAGCCGGGGCCGCCCTAGTACCGGGACCGGATCGATGCGAGGCGGCCGCTGCGACGTGTGTGGCAAGGTGTTCAGCCAGCGAAGCAATCTGCTGCGGCACCACAAGATCCACACCGGCGAGCGACCGTTCGTGTGTGGCGAGTGCGGCCGCAGCTTCAGTCGCAGCTCTCACCTGCTGCGCCACCAGCTCACGCATACGGAGGAACGGCCCTTCGTGTGCCTCGACTGCGGCCAGGGCTTCGTGCGCAGCGCGCGCCTGGAGGAGCACCGGCGGGTGCACACGGGGGAGCAGCCATTCCGCTGTGCGGAGTGTGGCCAGAGCTTTCGGCAGCGCTCCAACCTCCTGCAGCACCAGCGCATCCACGGGGACCCGCCCGGCCCGTCCCCGCCCGCCCCGGTCCACCCGGGAGTCCCCGAGCCCCCGGGCCCCTTCCCGTGCAGCGAATGCTGTGAGAGCTTCCCACGACGCGCCGTGCTGCTGGAGCACCAGGCGGTGCACACCGGGGACAAGTGCTTCGGGTGCGTGGAGTGCGGCGAGCGCTTCGGCCGCCGCTCGGTGCTGCTGCAGCACCGACGCGTGCACAGCGGCGAGCGGCCCTACGCCTGTGCTGAGTGCGGCCAGAGCTTCCGGCAGCGCTCCAACCTCACCCAGCACCGGCGCATCCACACCGGCGAGCGGCCCTTCGCCTGCGCCGAGTGCGGCAAAGCCTTCCGCCAGCGGCCCACGCTCACGCAGCACCTGCGTGTGCACACCGGCGAGAAGCCCTTCGCCTGCCCCGAGTGCGGCCAGCGCTTCAGCCAGCGGCTCAAGCTCACGCGCCACCAGAGGACCCACACCGGCGAGAAACCCTACCACTGCGGTGAGTGCGGCCTCGGCTTCACGCAGGTGGCCCGGCTCACCGAGCACCGGCGCATCCACACCGGCGAGCGGCCCTTTGCTTGCCCCGACTGCGGCCAGAGCTTCCGGCAGCATGCCAACCTCACCCAGCACCGGCGCATCCACACCGGCGAGCGGCCCTACGCCTGCCCAGAGTGTGGCAAAGCCTTCCGCCAGCGGCCCACACTCACGCAGCACCTGCGCACCCATCGGCGCGAGAAGCCCTTCGCCTGCCAGGACTGCGGTCGCCGCTTCCACCAGAGCACTAAGCTCATTCAGCACCAGCGCGTGCACAGCACTGAATAGGTCAAAGGTGGTTGTGAGGCTGCCATCGCCCAAAGGGCCCGCCTGGGGCCTGGTCTTCCATAGGTGCTCAATAAATGGTAGATGATGCCTCTCTGCCTGCACTGTTCCTCTACCCGCCTTATGGCTGTTTCGATGTGGGCATTATCATCTGCACATACAGCCTCCTGGGAAGGCATGCACCCGCTTCTGAAGTACGGCTGCCTACCACAGCTGGCTCTCTTATGGAAAACACACTGTACCATACTTACGGTTTATACAGTAGGTATAAGTCTCAGGTGAGGCAAAGTAGCCATACTCACAAAAAAGAGAGGGTGCGCTGCATCTGCCCTGGTAATTATTCAGGGTCTAGTCCAAAGAGATCAGAGTGGTGGTGGCCCATCCCTTTAATCCCAACACTAGAGGCAAAAGCAATCGGATCTCTGTGAGTTCAAGGCCAGGCAGCCAGAGCGGTTACACAGAGAAACCCTGTCTCGAAAAACCAAAGGGGCGGGGGTCCACCTATTACACGCAAAAGGGTAGCCTAGCTGGGTGTGGTGGTACACAGTTGAAATCCAGCACTTGGGAGGCTGACAAAGTAGGACTGCAGAGTTTTAGTCTAGCCTGGGCTACACCATAAGCTGCTATCTCAAAAGCACACGCTGAGTGTGGTGTCACACAGCTGTAATCCTAGCAGTTGAGAGGCAGAGGCAAGGGCATTGCCGTAAGTCTAACAGGTAGGTCTACATAACAAGTTTGAGGATGCCCAAAATTACAGAGTGAGAACCTGTCCACCACCACCCCAAAAGCTACAATACAAATGTGGTCGTGTGATGGCACAGACTTGTAAAAATCCCAGCTACTCAGGACTTGAGGTGAACTTCTAGCTAGTTCAAGGCCTGCTTGGCCTACAGAGACCTGTCTCAAAAAAAGAAAAGGAAAAGAAAAAAGGCTCAGTGGTAAAGCCACTTGTCATCGAGCCTGATGACCTGAGCTTGATCCCCGGAACCCACATGTTAGAAGACAACCAACTCCTGAAAGTTGTCCCCTGACCTGCACAACCTCTATGTGTGTAATTGTGTTTTCTGTGTTATGTGTACGCACACAAGCAAATAAATAAATAAATAAATGGGGGGAGCCTTTAAAAGGGGGTCATGGCTAGGAATGTAGGTTATTGACAGGCTGTTTGCTTAGCACTCACCGGGCCCTGGAATCAATGCCCTGTGCTTTAAGGATTGTTTTTTATGAGTTGGAGAGAAAAACAAACCAGGAAAGTTTAAATCTTGGACCGAGAGGAGAGATGGGGAGGGAAGAGAGAACCATGCTGTTTGAGTCAGGGTCCCAGGCAGGTTCAGCTAAGGTTGTCAACAGTTCAGCTGAATGGGAGCAGAGGGCTGGGGTTATCAGAGTGAGAATGTCCAGCGTTATCAAGACAAGCACACTTAAGACTTTTGTAGGTATCCAAAGAGAGTGGGGGCCAGGCAGTGGTGGTGCACGCCTTTGATCCCAGCACTCAGGAGGCAGAGGTAGGAGAATCTCTGTGAGTTCGAGACCAGCCTGGTCTACAGAGCTAGTTCTAGGACAACCAAGGCTACACAGAGAAACCATCTCAAAAAACCAACAAAACGCCGGGCATTGGTGGCGCACACCTTTAACCCCAGCACTCGGAAGGCAGAGGCAGGCAGATCTCTGTGAGTTCAAGGCTAGCCTGGTCTACAGAGTGAGTTCCAGGACAGCCTCCAAAACAATCCGGAGAAACCCTGTCTCGAAAAACCAAAAATAAATAAATAAATAAATAAATAAATAACCCCCCCCAAAAAGAAAAAAAACAAAGAGAATGGGGATAAGAAAAGGTACATTTCTGAGGTAGAACTCAGAAAAGTAGGCAGGCTTAGTAGTGAAGATCTGCAAGCAACATCCTAGTGCACACAAAAAAATATTTTTTTAATGTTTGAGACAGGGTTTCTCTGTGTAGCTTTTGAGCCTGTCCTGGAACTCACTCTGTGGCCCAGGTTGGCCTCCATTTTAAGATCGGCCTGCCTCTGCCTCCTGAGTGCTGGGATGAAAGGCGTGCGCCACGGCGCTCTGCCTCGAGCACTCCATCTTGCTGAGTCAACATAGCAATCCCCATGCCATCGTTTCTCCATGCCCAAACCCACTGTCCAGCCACTTTTACCCTAACAGCACTCCACCCCAATCTCTGCAACACTCGAAAGCAGCCAAGGTTCCACCCCACCCGAGCAGGATGGGCACTCAGGGATGAATGCGGGAGCTCGTCATGAGACACATGCCAGACTGGGGGGTTTAACCTGGACATTCAGATTTCCAAGATTTTCTTGCTCCCATGGGTCTGCAGCTAACCGGAACTAAGAAGGGATGAGTGGGACCCCCAAACTGGGGAGCCCAGGACCAGTAGCTCTATCCTTTGGAACTTGTTCCACTCATTCTAACCACAGGCCCCTTCCACCATGGCTCTGTTCATGGCTCTACAAAGGGTCTCCTTCATACTGGGGAGTCTTCCGGGGTGTGTTCAGCAGGAAGTCACAGGAAATACAGCTGACAACGGTTTGCATGATCCCGGGACACTTCAGGGCTGGTGTCCCATGCCACTGCCTCCTTTTCAATGGCCATCTTCCCTTCTATCTCACTGACACAATTGCCCCCCATGGGTTACTGGGGTGCAGGTAGTCAAAGGAGACCCATTTAACACAATTCAGCCTGATCCCTGAACCCCAGTTGAGGACTCTCTTTCTCTGGATAGGTGTCAGTCTGGCTCTGGGAGTTCCTGGGAATAACATTTCAAGGTCTGAATGTCCCAGCTGCTTCTGTAGGAATAGCTTTACTTGTTCCGGCCACTTGGTCCTAACGCCCCAAACTGGGACTGATCTAGCCTCAGGAAAGTAGACAAGCCAAGCAAGCCAGAGGCTGATCCTATGTGATGGCGTGGGGGAGGGGGCGGTCCCTATGACATTCCCTTGTTGCCTCCAACTGTCAGATATGAAGGGCCACCCTTAGCAGCCTATGGAACATCCCTAATATACATTGTAGATCTCGACTCAGACCCAACTGAAATTCAGGGTTCTAGTGCGGAAAATGTTTCAGCCCTAGCCTGTATGAAGCAAGGTTGGAGATTTTATTCAAGATATTTTAATATAAGCTTTAAGCATGAGACAAGTGCTCAAAAAGACATAACTAAGCATGGGTTTATGTTTCCCATGGAAGATGGGGGGGGGATCCTCAAGGAAGAGTCTCAATTGTTTTAGGATTAGCCATGTATAATACCTTTTGGGTGGCTCTCGAATTACATTTCAAAGGGTTGCTAGGAAACGGTTCTCCTTTCCTCTTTTGAAAAGACTGGAGACTGGCTCCAGAGATGCCTGGGATGGAACTGTAATCCCACATGGAAAAACCAGAAGCCACTAGAATCGTACAGGTTCGGTACACATCCTTTCCCTATAAATGGAGTTTCTGATGAAATTCCTAGAACACGGTAGGTTTACAGCTGATAAGTCAGAAAAGCCTTTAAGCAGCTGTTAACTGGACTGGCATTCTTGCTTCTCCACGGGAAAGAGGCTTCAACCAGGCTCCAGGGTCAGAGGCTCTATTCCTTTCTCTGATCCCCATAATTTTCAGTGTCGCTCTCTCCTGCCTCACAGACCATCAAAGATCCTGAACCGAGACACGCAGACTTTAGAATCTGGGGAGGGGCGAAAGGACTCAGGCAGGCAAGTGTTCCCACGCTGCCAGTAGAACTGCAGGACTATAAAGAATAGCCCGAGCCCCAGCTAGCCACAACTATGAGACTCTGAGAGGCTCAGGTATGGAGAGATGTGCTTGTAATCACAGTACACTGAAAATGGATGAGAGGAATGATCGAGGGACTGATCAAGAGCAACGAGGAGAGTTCAAGGTCATTCGGAACTACATGCTGAGTTTGGGCTACAGAGATGGATCCCGTCTGGAAGAAGCAAGATAAAATCACAAAAAAATAGCAGCTATACAATAATCAGCACAGAGCAGGGGAGCTGAGAAGGCAGGGAAGAGTGGTTCTGAATGATTTTTTTTTCCGGGTCTCAGAATGGGTTGTGAGTGGAGGCTGAGGTTAGGACAGATGGTGGAAGCCAGGTCGGCACCAAACCTAAGCTGAGCTGAGCTCCCATCTTTCGCCCCAACTTCTCTCAGCTTTCAAGGATAAAGGCAAGAAAGATGCTGGGGGTGGGAAGCAGAGATGACAGGGAGTTGAAAGGGGACTAACCTTAAAACATAAGGAAGAGCCGGGCGTTGGTGGCGCACTCCTTTAATCCCAGCACCGGGGGAGGCAGAGGCAGGTGGATCTCTGTGAGTTCGAGGCCAACCTGGTCTACAGAGCGAGTTCCAGGACAGCAAGGGCTACACAGAAAAAAAAAAAAAAAACCCTGTCTCGAAAAACACAACAAAAAGTTCAGGAAGATGAGGGTGCTGCCAGCAAGGGTGTACCAAGTCTCAAAGCAGGGCCGTGGTTCACGGTGAGTGGCACGAGTGATGGGTGGGTCAGATGGCAAAGGAGGACCTTTATGCAGGGGCAGACCGGATGAAGTCCCCACCTGTTCCAGGCACGTTTTCTCAAGCAGTGACAAGACAAGCAGCAGAAGTGCCTAACAGCTACTGTGGCTGCTTGCTGGTTTCCTAGATGACAGTCGGAAGTCACTGGCCCATCCTGAGCTATTTCCTTCCGCCTCCCAAACACCCTAAGTTGTGATTGGATGTGAGCTGACTCAACCTAGATCCTACGAGCGGCACAATGTCACTCCTGCTGGTCTCTAAGCCGCAGCTACAAGCCCTATACCCACGTAAAATCACACAGTGCTCACCCTCTGTTGCACAACAGAAATCTATTTTAAGGAACAAGGACCTCGATGTGTTTGTTGACTAGGGTGTCCCTGAACGTCTGGGCCCAAGCGAACCTGATGCCTCAGCCTCCAGCACAATACGAGTTTTTAAACGCGTTTACATCAATTGGAATCTGGGTTTGCGATGGGATTAAGGGAGCTCAGACAACGTCCCTCATAAACGCCCAGGCTCTCTGCCTTTGCTGAGCCCACAGACAGCAAGATCCATTCTAGCCCGTTCCGCTACGCTCCGCATAAGCGCAAGAGTGGATGGAACCACCGAGAACCAAACGGCCACTAACCCGACTCGCTCAAAAAAATGGTTGCAAGCAAGCACCGCTTCCTGCTCTGCCCGGTGCGCATCCCAGGAAGTACCCGCTGGACCGCTGAATAGTCACCTCCACAAACGGAAATAGCCGATCTTAGCCGAAGAAGACCGAACCCCAAACTCCCAACGAAGAGTAACGGGGGGGGGGGGGGGGCTTGCATGGCTTGCGCAGGCGCAGAACGCAGCCGGGAACAGGAAGACCCGAAGCGGGCAGGCGGCGGAAAGTGCCGAAGCGCCGGGGCGCCCGAGGCCGTTGCCGACCTCCGCATCGAAGCCGCGCCTGCCGCGGAAGCTGAGCCTCCCTCCACCGGTACCCTGCCGCCGCCAGCGCGGCTGCCACCTCCTCCTTCCACCTCACCGCAGCCTCCTCGCAGAGGGAGCAAGTAGGCGGGAGAGCGGCGGACCCGGGAAGGCCGGCGTCCGCAGCTGCAGCGGGGCCTCACAAGACCTGAGCGGAAGAGGGGGGAGGAGGGCGCGGGGGCCGAAGCAGGGGCGGGGCCGAGGATAGCCGAGTCCTCCCGAGCGCCTCCGAACGCACCCGAGGCGCTAAGCCAGGCCAAGAGCCGGACTACGGGAGCCGAGGCGGGCCGTGTGGTGGGCGCGGAGCAGCGCGGCAGGCCGGGCGGGCGGGCGGCGGCGGCGGCAGCGGAGGAGGAGGCCGCGGCAGCGGGTCCGAGGAGCGGAAGCGGCGCAGGAGGCGGCGGGGGGGCCGGGTGGCCGGGGTCCCGGGCCCCGCGGCGGCGGCAGCGGCGGCGGCGGCGCCAGGATGATCAAGCTGTTCTCGCTGAAGCAGCAGAAGAAGGAGGAGGAGTCGGCCGGCGGCACCAAGGGCAGCAGCAAGAAGGCGTCGGCGGCGCAGCTCCGGATCCAGAAGGGTAGGGGGGGGTCGCGATCCCGCGTTTGAGGTCAGGGGCCGGGGTGTGAAGATGCAGCCCCTGAGGCGGGGGTATCGGAAGTCAGGGTCCGAGGGCTGGGATGCGGGACGGGGGTGCGGTCACCAGCGAGGGTCAGAGATCGGGGCCGGGTATGGGGCGCCGGGACACTAAGGCCTGCAGTGTTGGGGACCTGGGATCTGTTAGGGGAGGGGGGTAGTTCGAGAGTCTGACGGGAACTTTGCTTTGGGGTGACGGGCCGTGAAGATAAGGTGAAGGTTGTTGTGAACTGGAGATAAGTAGGAGACGGTTTAGTGTATTATATATCGGAGACTTGTAGCCCAGGACTCAGGGGTCGGGCAGAGCAGTTCTGAGTTTGAGGTAAAGGGAAGGAGGAAAGCAGGTGACAGGAACTAGAAAATGGGAGGCAGGGACAATTTAAGCCACCATGCTAGAAAGTCTCTAGAGTCAGAGAAGGTCCGGGACCTGGAATAACCCTGAGGAAGAGGAAGGACCGTGGGAGCTGATGGTTGATGACAAGGGATGATTTCGTGTTCGAAGGGTCATGGTCCTTGAATTAGGATGGACAGGTAAAGAGTCGTGAGTGCAGATGACGCCTAGAGAGCCTCACGTTTAGAATGCTCTGGAGCTCTTGGAAGCCAGTGTTGTAGGAGTAGAGGTTCTTGGGCATTGCATTGTGGGAACTTGTGGTGGGGCATTTAGGAGGGCAGTAAAGGCTTGCCCTTCCCCGAGAGACGGGCATCCAATTGCAACTGAAGATGGCTGCTTATATGTGGGATACTATGTATCCAGAAGCGTCCACGTAGAGACTGGAAAGTGGGCAGGAAGGGTGTGTGGTACATACGGAGAGCGCACACCACGCAACAGAACGCTACAGGTCGGGAAGGAGAGCTCGGGAGTCCCGCTAACACCTGCCCACACCCAGGTCCCTTCACCTCTATTCTCTCCTCCCCACCGCTGCCTAAACCTAGACATTAACGAGCTGAACCTGCCCAAGACTTGTGATATCAGCTTCTCAGACCCAGACGACCTCCTCAACTTCAAGCTGGTTATCTGTCCCGATGAGGTAAGAGTAAAATGAACACGGCGGGGGTCCCAAGAACAGTCCCCGGTCGGGGGTAGCCCCATAGAGACTAGGGGACCCTAAGAGTGGGGTCTGAATTCCTTCTCCCTTTCCTCTCCCAGGGCTTCTACAAGAGTGGGAAGTTTGTGTTCAGTTTTAAGGTGAGTGGCAGGCGGACACAGAGATGGGCGGCTCAGCAGCTGAGGCGTAGCCGAAACACACGCCCGTCTCATTTCTCTCTTTCTGGGGCCAGGTGGGACAAGGTTATCCACATGACCCCCCCAAGGTGAAGTGTGAGACAATGGTCTATCATCCTAACATTGACCTCGAGGGCAACGTCTGCCTCAACATCCTCAGGTGATGGCCCTGCCTTCCCTTCCCCTCCCAAGGCCCTCCCAATTGCATTGTGGGAACTTGTGGTGCCCTGCTCCGTCTCTGCCTTTTGTGGATGCTGCGCCTGTCTCTGTGTTTCCCTGCCCTTTACCGCCTGCTTCTCTGTGGGCCTTCTCCCGGGCCTGCCCTGCTCCCTGACTCACCCCTTCCTTACCTCACTCTTGAGTGCTCGGGGCCTCCTAGGGCCCTGACGTGTTTGGTACTGGCAGGGCCTCTGTTGCAGCCTCCCACTCCCCAACCCGTGGGATAACCTCGATGCTCTCTGCCCACAGAGAGGACTGGAAGCCAGTCCTTACGATAAACTCCATAATTTATGGCCTGCAGTATCTCTTCTTGGTGAGTAGGGCTAGGCATTTGAGGCTGAGGGTCTGTCGGCCATCTGCCCTCTCCTGCCTGTTAACGTGCACTTATGCCGGCCACAGGAGCCCAACCCCGAGGACCCACTGAACAAGGAGGCCGCCGAGGTCCTGCAGAACAACCGGCGACTGTTTGAACAAAACGTGCAGCGCTCCATGAGAGGTGGCTACATCGGGTCCACCTACTTCGAGCGCTGCCTGAAATAGGGTTAGCAAATACGACCCCTGCCAGGGTTACCAGCCCAGGCATCCCCTACAAATATTTATTGGGGGCCCGGGTAGGGTATGTGGGGTAGCCTTGGCCCCTGCCTTGGCCTTACCTCTCCTCCCTGTCACCTGTCCCTAGTTATTTTTTTTTTAACCACCACGTGATTATGGTCGGTGCTGCCTTTTCCCGACCTGCTCAGCGATGGGAAATGAATTGGCTTGTTTAGCGCCCCCCCCCTCCCGCTGGGTGCTGTCCAATACCCTACTCTTGACTGTGGGGTAAGTGGGCAATGGGCCTGGGTCGCTGAGCCCGGGCAACCCACCCCACCACCACTGGAGGTCCCACCAGGCTATTAAAGGGGAATGTTACTGCATGGCCTCTGCCTCTTCCTTCTGTGGGGTGGGAGGGACGAGTGAGGTCCACCAGCGTCTGTGATGGAGAGAAGTGTGTGGCCTTGGGTCGAATGGGACCGCCCGCTGGGATGAGAAGCAAGCAGGGGGAGACTGGGCCTTTCCACCGACATAAAGGAGCCCACAAATCTCCAGGCTCGCCCCTTTTCGCCATGCGTGGCCCTGACAATTGGGCTCCGGCCTGGCCCTTGCTGAGATTCCATGAATGAACCGCCCAAAGAAGGGTGGGGTGTGGGCATTCCAGAATGAATAGGCCGAAGGTGCCAGTCGTGCCGCGGTCCTGCGAGGGTTACAAGGGTGGGACTTGTGTGTCTTCCGCAGAGGTGCGGGCTCTCTTGCGCATGCGCCCGGATGCTGGCCGTGCGCGTGCGTGCTGCCACTTCCCAGCATTCCGGGAGAGGGTGGGCCGTGTGGCTGACGTCAGGTCGTTTTATCCGGAAACGGCGGCGGCAGCAGGGGCTACCGAACCGAGGGGCTGTCGTTGGTGGGGGCTCAAGGCCTCGGAGAGAAAGGGGCGTGACCCGGAAGCGGAAGCCCATCGCCCTCTCGGCTCCGGTGAGTGGCCCCCGCTGGGCCGCAGGTCCCGGTTGGGCGGCAGCGTAGGAAGGCTTGTGGGTTGGGGCATCGGATGTCGCGCCGTCTGCCCGACCCTGCCTGCCCTCGGTACGCAGGCTCTTCCACACACCCAGACCTGCCCTCCGTGTGTCTGTCACTCGTGCCCCGGCGGGCCAGGTTCCCTCACCATCCAGGTCCATCCTCATCTTAGGGTCCAACGTCCCGAATCTACCCCATCCTGCCCTCCCTTGCCGAGGGGCCCCACAACCACCCTCCTCAGTACTCAGACGCCTCGGCGTGCCCACTCACGTCTGGGTCCCCGGAATACTCCAGAACCACACCCTTAGGTCTACCCTACTGCCTGAAAGCAAGGCAGTGGCGGGCGGAGGGGACGCGCCTGCATCAGAGAAGCGGGCAACTTTAGCTCTGGCTGTTCTTTCTCACTTGTGGCCTTAACTAATCCCCTTTGAGAACTCACGCGTACCTCCTGTGCCGGGGTCCTAACCACTTACAGGGCTGTTTCTGCCTTCTGCTGTCCTGGGCCCTCCCTGCCCGCACTCTCTGCAGCTTGGCCTGACGTCTGCCCCAGCCCTGCTGCTGGAGTCCTCCCACCATGGACCTGTTGTTTGGGCGCCGGAAGACGCCTGAGGAACTGCTTCGGCAAAACCAGAGGGCCCTGAACCGAGCCATGAGGGAGCTGGACAGGGAGCGGCAGAAGCTAGAAACCCAGGAAAAGAAAATCATTGCAGACATCAAAAAGATGGCGAAGCAAGGCCAGATGGTAAGTGCCGAGTGGTCAGGGCCTGGGACACAAGGCAAGATGCCACCTCGGCCACTGTTGTAAGGACAATGACAGACTTGCTTTGAAGAAAGTTGAGTGAAGGGTGAAGAGGAATTTCCTGGTTTGGGGCGTCTGGGAAGACTCCTTAACACAAGTGCAACGAGCTAACCTGCAGGCAGAGAAGGCAGCCAAGGAGTGCACCAGACAGACAGCAGCAAATGTTAGCCACAGCAAACCGAGAACAAAAGAGCTCCCGGTGAGGAAGGGAGGTGGGCGGGCGTAAACAGTTGGTGAGGGGTACCATTTCCCAGAGTGTGCCAGCAACATTTAAATAGGAGATGGAAGCTGGACCTTGCCTTGGATAAATTTGTGACTCCACATACAGCCTGAGACATCCATAGGCAGTGTCATGTGGAAAAGTGGGGTGTTTTTGTCAGCGCCAAGGATTAGACTCCAGGATTTTGTGCAGGTTAGGTAAAGCACTACCAGAGTCATATCCCTGGCCCAAAACAGAGAAGGAAAAAAAAAAATTGACAGCCTGGTACCTTCCCACATTTAAGCGTTACAGAGAAGCCTGGGTAACTGGATGCAGGATGCAGTGGCTCATGCCTGTAGTCTTAGCATTAGGAAAGCAGAGACAGAATTGCCTGTAGGCTACTACTCTAGGCTACATAGATGGCTGGAGTGATAACCCCAAAAGGTGAGATTTCTTCAAGTAATCACTTGGGTTAATTTCCATTAGTCTTTTAGATTTCAGCAGGAATAACTTCACAGCTGTATCATTTATTCTCATACCCACTCTGCAGGATGCTGTTCGAATCATGGCAAAAGACCTGGTGCGTACCCGGAGATATGTACGCAAGTTTGTGTTGATGCGGGCCAACATCCAGGCTGTGTCCCTCAAGATACAGACGCTAAAATCCAACAACTCAATGGCACAAGCCATGAAGGGTGTTACTAAGGCCATGGGCACCATGAACAGACAGGTTTGTCCCTCTCAATCCACCTTCCCACCCCCATTGACCTTCAGGCAGCTCATTCACCCTCCCCGTTCTTCCAGCTAAAATTACCCCAGATTCAGAAGATCATGATGGAGTTTGAACGGCAGGCAGAGATCATGGACATGAAGGAAGAAATGATGAACGATGCCATCGACGACGCGATGGGCGATGAGGAAGATGAAGAGGAGAGGTGTGGAAATAGGAAGGCGGGGGAGTTTTCCAGGCCCCTTGCCCATCCATAGCCCTCACAAGCTGTCCTTCTTTCCTAGTGATGCTGTTGTGTCCCAGGTCCTGGATGAGCTGGGACTGAGCCTCACAGATGAGCTATCAAGTGAGTGTTCCACACCCATTTTTTCCCCACCCAAGGCTCAGCCACAGCCCTTGACCGTCGGTTCTCTCTGCAGACCTCCCCTCCACCGGTGGCTCACTCAGTGTGGCTGCCGGTGGGAAGAAAGCAGAGGCCGCGGCCTCCGCCCTGGCTGATGCTGACGCAGACCTGGAGGAGAGGCTCAAAAACCTGCGCAGGGACTGAACCACTCTCCTCCAGAGAATGGACTGACTGCCCAGGTCTTCACCCCGTCCCCTCTGAATAAAGAAATGCAGACACGACTTCCCAAGGCTGTGAGACTTCCCCTACATAATAAATGGACAAAATTCCCCAACTTGTGACTAGTGGCAATGGGACCCAAATCCAGGTTTGGGAAAGTAAACAAGACTGACCCTGCTTACTACAAAGGGCTTTGAGAGGTGGGCGTTGGTGGTGCACACCTTTAATCCCAGCACTCAGGCCTGGTCTAGACTGGGTTCCAGGACAGGAACGTTCTCTGAGAACCAATCAGGTACAGGGAAATCACAGGTCAAAGACAAACTGTTATCAGGATCCTAAGCAAGAAGTAACAAATCCTTAACAGGTGTTAACAGGCAGGCAGATCTGAGTTCAAGGCCAGCCTGGTTTTACAGAGTCCCAGGAAAGCCTGACCCTGTATGGGGAAAGAGGACTAAGAAAGAAAAAGCTCTAGAATTGGAATCTCAGCACACAACCCATTTTTAGAGCAGGCTGGTAGCTCCAGATCCAGGTTTTCTACCTTCCTAGCTTACCACTGGGAGGCAGATGGTATGTACACCTGAGACCTCAAGCTAAGTCTCATCAGGGTGTGTACAAATCTTTCACCCTGCCAAAAAGATTAAGGTCCCCTGGGGAAATTAGTTTTTGATATGGTTAATAATGCAAAGACTAAATCCTGAGGAATATAGTCCCCAAACAGCTGAGGCATGAGCGACTCGGAGAAGTTTTTATTAAATCCACAGAAGTAAAAACCATTTTTTTTTTTGTGAGGAGGGACTGAAGGACAGGGCCACCAAGAGCAGGAGTCAGGCCACCAAAGGAGGGGGTATGGGGTGAAAGGACAGAGACCAAAGTTTGACTGGGCTGACCACAAGAGCTCCAGCTTCAGGGACCATCACCAGGGCCAGACAGCTCCTGAGAACTTAGGCTAGCACTGGGAAGGTTCAGTGGTGGTGGTTCTACCAGCACAGCAGAAAACTTGGTGTCACCAAAAGCATCATTCATGCGCGTCTCAAAGAAGCGCTGCAGGCCGATGATGGACTGCACATCCGCCTTGTCCTGCGCCAATTAAGAGAACAGTGGTAAGTCCTGGCTCTCCCCTACCCCTCACCCCCGCCCTCCCTGTATATGCTGCAGGCCCACCTCAGTCAGCTTGTTGAACTGTTTGAACATGCGGCCCACATCTTGGGCAAACTCCTGGGGAGAGCTATAAGGGGGCGACAGCTTCTCTTGGAGGCGAGCACGTATCAGGGTTAGGTCTAGGGTACCAGGCTGCTCCTGCAGGGAGAAAACATAGGCATAAGAAGGAACACCCGCCGGGCTGTGATGGTACACACCTTTAATCCCAGCACTCAAGAAGCAGATCTGAGTTCAAGACCAGCCTGGTCTACAAGAGCTAGTTCCAGGACAGCCTTAAGACAGAAAAACCCTGTCTTGGAAAAAAACAAAAAACCAAAACAACCACCACCCTACCACCTCCTGGTATATAACCAACCTCTCCTGCTCTGGATGGAACTCACCATGGAATATGTAGAATCAGTAGCCAATTGGTGCAAGGGGCGACAGGGTTCATGGCAGAACAGGGCCAGAAGAACGCGCTCACATTTCTAGGCAGTACAAGAGATGTCAGAGTTACAGCATGAAGGAGGGCTTCAGCTACTGGGCCACAACCAACACCTATGCATTCAGCTCTCACCCTCTGGTTGACTGGTGAGAGCTTAGCTACCACACCAGTGCTATCTGCTCCATCCAGGCTAAGGCTTCCATCTTCCTCCTTTAGGTCAGGGAGCACGTGGCAGAGTGAGCAACTCCACTCCTCCCTATGGTGAAGAGTAGGAGATGTGAATGACGACAACTAGCCCTTCAGGATCTACCATCTGATGCTGCCCAGCCCCACACATACATACCCTGGCACATCCTGCAGGGCAGGGAGGTGGCAATCCAGGTGAAAGCAAAACTCGCACTGGTTGCACATGACCAGGTCACCTGGTTTCTGGCAGACGCGGCATATGGTGGCACTGTCATCCAGGACACCTGGTCCACCTACAGGGGCTGAGGTAC